ACGGACCAAGTGGCGGAAGCGGCACGCGGCGGAGATGGCCTCGGCCAAGAAGAAGCACGACTCGGAGACGGAGAAGCTGAAGGAGAGCTCGGACAATGAGGACGATGACGAATACAACAAGCCCCTGGACCCCAACTCAGACGACGAAAAAATCACGAGGCTATTGAAAAAGCACAAATCCACAAACCTGTCCCTGGTCAGCCCCTGCAGCACCAGCTCGGACACCTTGTGAGGCCCCGGGCCCGACCCGCGTCCCTGCGTGTTCAGGTGCTGTGTTGTACAGCCTAAGATGTATGTGAAATGTATATATTTTTTACAGAATAAGTTATGAAATTATTTTCCTTCTCATCGATGTAAATTTCAGAGGAATTTTTCCAGCTTTTTTTTTTTTTTCCCCTTTGTTTCGTGCCCCTTTTAGGTTTTCCCGTTTCTTTCAGCCTTCTTGCCGATTTCCTGCTCCTAACAATCAGGTGGTTACATTTTGTATGGGTCGCCAAATTCCAGCTCAGACACTTTGTATATAGTAAATTTCAGATTTTGTGATGTATATTTCTAGTGTAAAAAAGGCTGTTTTCTTTCACTCCCTCCCTCAGTGTTTTGGGGGTTTGGTTTCTCCTGTCTCTGGATTTTATGCTTAATGATACTGAAAGGGAAAACAACCCAAAAAAGCACGAGAGAAAAACGGACACACGATTTTACATTGGGATCAAACAACGTCTCCACACGGGTTGGAAAGACTTTGTATAAATCAATAAATTATTTAACAAGCTTCTCCTTCAGCGAGGTGGTTTTTCCCTGCATTAACTCGTTTTCGGTCCCACCCGCTCGGCGCGGGGGTCGGGCAGGGGCCACCCTGCGTACCTGCTGCAGGCTGATCTCTGGCTTTCGCTTCCCTGCTCCGGGGACCCGTGTTTTTAGGGCCCCTCGGCTCGGGCCGCTCCCCCGGCTCCTCCGCCACGGCGGAACCGGCGGGCCGAGGCGGGAGAGCCCCGGTGCGGGCGCTGGACGGCTGCCCTCCGGGAGCGGGGTTCGCTGTCCCGCAGGACCCGGGGGCTGGGACAGAGCGATACAGGGGGCTGAGCCCGCGACGGCTCCGGCACGACGAGCAG